TGTCTATGTATGTATTTAGGGAAAAATAGGTAAGAATCTGCACTTAATGTTTTGCATCATTTGTTAATCTTTAAGTTCCTATGGCTTACCAAAAAATAATGTAAATGCACAGAAATTCGGCTCCTACTCATGAGACATAAGTCGCAACCCGTATAATCAATACCGAAAACGTGAAATTAATAATCGTTAAATCTTTGAAAATCACGCAACACGCATCATCTCCAGCGTGTTTACTCTTGCACTTTCCTGCTTTACTTGCGCCGTCCTCTTAGCGCAATCAGCAACACGATGCCCGTGTCGTTTGTCGCGGCCGTTGACACTTATTGGCTAAACTGCCTACTTCACCACACTTATAACTGATGCTTTCCATTTCCAGACAACCGGTCAGGTACCAGCATGATTTTTAATTTCGACCAAACTCAAATACATTGTTTGTTGGTCCAAATAATGAGACACGTATTTTTTCTTTTGGCTCGGAACAATTTTTAGGCCGAATTAAACGCGATTTGGTTTTTCAGGCAAAAATCGATTATTCGAATTGACAGTGAGAATTTTTTTTTTAAATGCCCATAACTTTGTCAAAATTTAATAGATTCCAACCAAGGTACATTGAACAGGTAGTATCAGTAGAGCAGCTGATTTGATTTATTTTCAAATTATTTGGTCTCGAAAATGTCAAATATTTTTAATTTTTTCTCACAAAAATTCTGAATTGTTAAAATCCATTTGCATGTGAAACCTTTTTCCATACAAAACAAGCGATTGAATAGCAGCTTTTGGAACGTTCGCCCAACTCAGCATCACAACCGCTGATTACTGGCCCTTGTAAAGGATGGATCAATGCTTCGAGAAGCAAACAAATTTACTAGGAAAGAAAGTTGCAACAATTTTTATTTTTTCCAATTTCAATTTTTTATTTTTTATAATTTTTTGTATTTCACATGGCACGCTTTGATTTAGAAGAAAAAATTCAGAACAGTTTTTGACACTTTCGATACCAGAAGCAACAACAAAATACACGCAAATGTTGTTTTTGCTGTACTGATACTACCTGTTTAATGTGCCTTGATTCCAACAATGTTTTTACTCAAATGTCAGTAATTCTTGTCACTTCAAGATAGAATGATATAATTATTGACTTTCATTACATAAAATTTTTTATTTAACAATAAACAAAGGGTGCAATTTTTTTTTTTTATTTAATTTCTCAAAAAGTGTATTTTTTCTCTCAAACTTTTTTATCGGGAAAGAGACACTTTGAACTACAATCAACCCAAATCTCTAATAGCGAAGATTTTTTTTTCTGAGTTATGATTTTTTATAGAAAATATACGTTTTTGTGGTACATACTACAATATTCTTATATTGTTTAACTAAATGGAACATATGTATGTAATATATCAGCAAAAAGTACAGCCGTGATCATTTTTTGTGTATCAAATAGATATTAGAACACACTTTCCACCATACAGTTTCGAAATACAAAATCACATTTTCCCGCTTTTTATAATCGAAACTGTATGGTGGAAAGTGTGTTCTAATATCTATTTGATACACAAAAAATGATCACGGCTGTACCCTTTGCTGATATATTACATACATATGTTCCATTTAGTTAAACAATATAAGAGTATTGTACTATGTACCACAAAAACGTATATTTTCTATAAAAAATCATAACTCAGAAAAAAATCTTCGCTATTAGAGATTTGGGTTGATTGTAGTTCAAAGTGTCTCTTTCCTGATAAAAGAGTTTGGGAGAAAAAAAAATACACTTTTTGAGAAATTAGATTAAAAAAAACTTTGCACTTTTTGTTTATTGTTAAATAAAAAATTTTAAATAAGGAAAATCAATAATTATATCATTTTATCCTGAAGTGACAAGAATTACTGACATTTGAGTTAAAACACTGTTGGAATCTATTAAATTTTGACAAAGTTATGGGCATTTAAAAAAAAAATTCTCACTGTCAATTCGAATAATCGATTTTTGCCTGAAAAACAAAATCGCGGTTTAATTCGGCCGAAAAATTTTTTCAGAGTCAAAAGAAAAAAAATACGTGTCTCATTATTTGGACCAACAAACAAATTTGTGAGTTTGGTCGAAATTAAAAATCATGCTCGTACCTGACCGTAGAGGTGCAAAACTATCGATGGCACTATCGATAGTATCGATGTTTTTTATTTTTCCCTACTATCGATTGTTTTTTGGTCCTATCGATAGTCCGACAGACATGTGATTCAGTATTTATTTTAGTTTTATTTCTTCTTTTCTTTTCATTTCTCTTAAACATCCAAGTTGACTATAAATTTGGGTGCTACTTTTTTAAAAGAGTAATGTCAAATTTCGAAAATGACGGAAAACCTTGCATCTTTTAAAATACCGCTAAAAAACTGATACAAATTAACTCATACCAAAACTTTCAATATTATCTACCACCACTATTTACTATTTATGAAAAGGTAAATAAAAACCATTACTTCTCAGATAAAAAATGGTTTCTTCATCTAAAATTGAAATTTACTTGATGAATGCCTTATATATGACGGAGGATATCTAAAACCACAAATATAAAATTTCAGTATGCCCAATTTTTTTCCATTTCAATTCATTTCAAATTTTCAATAACTTTACTTCTAACTTAACGGTTAAACAATTAAAAAAAGTGTACAGTAGTTTACAAGAATATCCAAACGTAGTTTCGAAATATATTCTTAAGGAAATCTTCATACGAAAATTGAGCCAAAACCATAAAAATACGATACTATCGACGATATATCGATAGTTTTGAAAATAATATCGAAAACTATCGATGGTCAGACTATCGATAGTTTTGCACCTCTACCTGACCGGTTGTCTGGAAAAGGAAAGCATCAACTACGTTTTGTCTCAGTTCCCTGTGCTTTGCTAACCGTTTTATCCTCACGTTTGTTTTGAAAAGAGCCCGTACTGTGTTGATGTCCCGAAAGAACCTTTTCATAAACTAGAATATGAAACTTCAACTCCTGTATAATATTAGATTGGTATAAACTTGCTTTATTTTATCGCGAGTCTGGAATACCGTCAACAAAATATTCGATTAGACTTTTATCATCCAAACTTATCGACCTTCCATGAGACTGTAGAGATACTCGCGATAGTCTTCGTTAAGACAATTTCGACGGTTTCTAAGGGCACGATGTACCTCAATAGGAGCTGTTACAATACCGAATTCATTTTGTAAAGATTGCTTAAGGGAATTTCAAGATCATATACCACGCTGGCTACGGATGAAAAGGTTTCCGGCACACTTCTATAACTTTTTACTTTATATAAACTTATGTATTTCTCCCCACTGAACTGCAGTAGCATTGGCTTCAAAATCGTCTAGCCACTCTTCCACGGTGAGCTGCCCCGTACCACTAAATGTTGGCGGAGGTCCATCAATATCACGCAAAGTGAACATAGGGCGCACAACTCCCGCCACCGGTAATACACTACTTTCAAATCATTCACTTTCACCGTTTGATACTTTTTCCTTAATTTAAAGATTTGATGCTTTGATAATTTTTTGTTCACATATTCCCCATTTTGATACTTTTATCTGGCAGAAATGAATTTTTGAAAACTATGAATAAAATTACTAGTTCAAAGGCAAATAATTTTTTATTGATATTTAAGGTCATAAAATTGTATATATAGATATTTGTTGTTTATAAGTTTGATTTGGTAACTGTTATAAGGGAAAAAAACCCGGAATTTCTTTGCACGCTCTGTTGTTACAGGACCCTTAAACCACATAAAAAGATTGCGCAATATCGGGCTTGCGTCCGTCGTTTGTGTGGTGCATGGGGTTGTTTGTACTAAATTGCGCAGTTATTGCGCTAAAATCAAAACCAAAAATTTGTGCTGCGAATGGCGACAACTGCGCAATTTTCAGTCTAAGTTTGATTTTGGTGTCCAGATCGAGCTGTAAAGTGTGGATAAGAGCGTAGAAAAAAATTAAATTTGTCTTAATATTCTTTTTTTGCGTTTTAAAACTTAAGCTACCAAAATATATATTTTATATATATATACTTGATCAATGTTTCTCCAAAATAAGGTTTGCGCAATTTTATTGTGTAGGCATTTGTTTTACATTATGCAAATAAGCATACAGATTCTCTGTTTTTGTTAAAGCTAGTCATGTAAATTTTTTTATAACTATGGATTTAGTTATAAAATTGTATTTATTATATGGTTTTCAAATAAAAGTTAAAAAATAACAGTTGTGTTTGCTGTTGATACTTTTTTTGCTTGACAACTGATACTTTTTTTCAAGCTCGTGGCAACGCTGAAGCCTATCCTGCAACGTAGCTTTCTTTCCGTTTGCCGACAGACCCAGCTCCGTAAGCTTTGCCTTCAACCCGTTCACGTTTAGTGCAAAAATCTGTTCTCTGTCCATGTCAAATATACAGTTTTTCATAAATTTAAAAGTACAAATAAATCTTTAAAATATTTAATTCATAAATTCAGCCACACTTGGCTTTACATCAAATCATAAACATAACAAGGCTGAATTAAAATTTCTAGCAAGTAAATTCAATGAAATTCCATTCTAATATAAATATTCAAAGCTTAATTTGATCTTATTTTATTTTACAAAGCTAATGCTTTTCGCTTCTGATAAAATCCCTTATTTTTCTATTTAACAACTTTCTGATTAGATTTTCCAACAACAAATTCTGTATTCTTTTCGCTCTCTATTAATTTATTTCTTTTCCTGTTTAACAATTTCCAATTTACAAGTTGATTTCAACAATACCACGCCAACCGCTAGCACATCTACACAGCGCTGCTCTCGATAACCATCCAGCGCATATACTCTGCACTGCTCGCAATACAATCGCTTTTGCTTTTCTTTGCAGCATCCACGATATCTTGAACTTCTATCACCAGGTTCCTGTGTGGCTGTCAATTGTAGATACTTATGAAGAAATTTTAGAGACAATGTATTAAAACTTAATATTTTTCTTTTTAGAAATACCTGAAAACGGTGCCGATGTGTCACACTTTTCTGCTATTCACAGAGAATATTTGTTTGCCGGAGTGGAAAATCCAGATAAAAACGGCCTAGTCAAATATATTCAACATTTTTGGAAGGCAGCGTAAGTTAAATTTTTTTAGATATTATACAATAGTTAATCCGGTTCCAGCTAGCAACTGTTTTGAAACTTCATGAGGGCCAAGGAAAGTAGAGAAACCAAAAATATATCATGATGCAGTAAAGATAAGGTGACGCCAATAGAACGATACTTTGTTCCTACTTTAACAATTTCCGCAGGCTTACTGGCAGCTAACCCTACATACATGACTTGTCTCAGGAGTTACCTTGCTCCTTTTTTTACCACGGCGCTCGTCAGCCGACAGGTGTACGGACGGTCGTCACTCCTTAGTGGTGCGTTCTATCCGCATGAGCCGCCAGAAGTGTGGCTACACTCTCCACGTGGGGATGGAGGGAAATAGGCTATGGCTACGGTCATGTCTCTTGATATGGTCCAGGCTAGTGGTAGTCGGGCTGGGAGAAGAAAATTCTCGGCAGTCGGAGTAGTGGGTCTAAGAGTGGTCTCACACCATTCCTCTGATTGCCTCCTGAGTAGGGTTGCCAGATTATTTATGCGCGATATCAGTACGTTCGACTTTTTCATGCCAAAAAAAATCAGTACTTTTCAATACATTTTTATTCAAAGCAAAATTTTAAATGTAAGTAACAGACATTTAATACTTAAAACCACCAGAATACTTGTTTTTAACAATATTTTGGTATATAAATAAAATATAGTTCATAAAATATAAAGGTGTTAGTCATTTAAAAATGAGTGTACACATCCTTGTACACCGAAGCCAATAAATTATTTTATATGTAAGACATTTTTGAATAGCAATAATGAGATCATTTCCATCTTCAGGGTTTAACTAGTCAATAAATTCTATACATTTCATTTTCAAATTACTTTTAATATGAAGTTCACATTAAAAATTTTTAATTAGAAGCCTCTCTTTGCGCCAGGAAGCAAACTTTATACTAAAGATCCTATCAATTGCTTCGTTTGAACAAAATTACATATTTTTTTCAAATGTGGAAAGTACCACTATTTAAGGACTTCATCTTTCATTCCCCGTGGCTTAAATTAATTTTTTCAACTACGCAAAAACTTTGAAAGACTAAGAATTCGCTAAAAAGAGTATCTAATGGTGATTTCGTTTCTTCCAAAAAAATGTTGGCCTTCCCCGATGCAAAATGGTTTAGATGTTACATTCAACCCTGTAAAATGGCATGTTTTGGCCTTCTTGTCCTTGTCTAGCTCACGCATTTCATAATATGTGACCTGGTCTACGAAAAGGGAGCTAACGTGCGAAAATTAGTTTTCTGTGAAAAAGCTGTTAAAAGTAAGCAACTCCTTTCGTCAGTTTCTCATTATCTCGTTAATTGTTCTCCGCGCCGGACGTCCAGTAAGTGTTGTTGTTGGTCCAGTAAGTGATGTTGTTGGTCCAGTAAGTGTTGTTGTTGGTCGGAATTGCCGAAAGGTTTGCCATCGAAGAAACGGAAGGCAAAAACTAGTGAAGATGTTCTCAAACCAGACGAGGAACCAGGTCCATCTTCCTCAGGTTCAACACGTAAAAAGATCTCAAGGAAAACGACAACAAAGAAAAATACATAAACTACTCAGCATTATTATTTTTGGCCCATAATACGTTTTTCTAGTGTATAATCATGTCTTTATAGCTTATAATTCAATGTATTTTGTTCATTACCAATAAATTATATTTTGTCGTATTTTTACTCTTCTTTCTCTACATTTTTAGTACACTTCTAAGCAAGTTAGGATTTTCTGCTTTTCACCACGTGAAAAAGCATCTCATCTTCCATCCGAATCAACCAAAAAGTGAAAATTGATTTTTTGACACCTAAGCCCCCTTTCCGTAGACCAGGTCACATATTGTCGTTTTGAACAACCATCTGATTTTAAGGGCAACCAGGGCAGAGAATGTGCCTTTTTTGCGTTGAAAGAGTGTGAAATTTTAAGAAACGAACACACAATTTTCTCACTTTTTCCTTTAATTTAGAATCGAACACGAAAACAGAAAGGGGCAATCAAAAGGCAACATTTTTTGGTAGAAACGAAATCACCATAACTCTATGACTTGTATGCAAAACTCTTTTACAATGTCAGTAAATTGTGAAAAAAGAATTGTAAGTTATAGGCGAAAGTCATTCGAATATTCAAATTTGTTGTAAACTGAAAGTTATTTTCGAGATAGCTAGCAACACGTCAACCTTATTTTTTAAATAATTTAAGCTCCGTCATATTATCGCAACTGGTACGTAATGACTCGGCGATATGCCCATAAAACGATTGATCTTTTTGTTGTATTAATTTCTTGGGCACATCAAACATTATCTGAAGCATGTCAACTATAATTAAATCAGTTTCTTCTTACTTTTTAGAGTGCAGCCAAAGTTATGTAAAAACCGTAAGAAAATCCTAAAGTATTTTGTTCGAATTGAAAATTCAGTACAAATCAGTACAAATTTTGAAAAATCAGGACATTAGCGTACTGATTGAATAAATTAATAAAATCAGTACAAGAGTTGAAAAATCAGTACTGTACTGATAAAATCAGTACTGTACTGATAAAATCAGTACGTCTGGCAACCGTACTCCTGAGCTGCTTCTGTTTTTCATAAATAACCCTACCTGCAAGATGGAACAGCGTATGCCGAAAGATACCTTGCCAGGGGGTACTAGGAACTGAGTGAGGACTCTGGATACCTCCTCCAGTTTCAATTAGACTTACCGTGGGAGGAGATTGCAGTGATGTGCATACTTCGCCCATTTCCCGTTTACTCGCGGGAACACCAGTGAAAAAAAAATTCAAAAAAATTAACAAATTAACCTGCTGGAGCTTCAAAACCATCACTCCTGAACCAAGCCTGCACGGCAGAGGTCAGTCAGCGGCCAGTGGGCTGCATACCGCCATATTTTACGAAGCTCTTGGGCATGCGAAAGGAGGCTCAGAGATGTTGACGGACGCCAGAAGGAGCACCAGAATTAGTAGCCGGACTGTTGCACAGAGGCACCCCTCTTGGCCGATTAGGCAGCCAAAAGTCGGATTACCCGAACGCACTTTATTCTTTTATAAGAACAAGGGTGAAGAGAATATAATTCTTGACTAGATTCCGTTATTTTTAAATACCTCTTTGTTTTCATTCGCTCGGACAGCGCTGTCAAATAGAGGTGTCAAAATATCGATAGTCACACCATCGATAGTTTTGATAGTTTTCAGAAAAACTATCAATATTCATGATAGTCTCGAAAAAAAACAAAACTATCGATAGCGCTAAATCAGTTCGGTTGCTTTGTTTTTACAGGATCATAGTAAAATAAATATTATCTTATAAAAGTTATAATCACTCAAAATTAAGTAAATGCTTAGCCAAAATACTTCTCTTTTTAGAAAGTTCAAAAACAAACACAAGTTATACAAGCAAAACAGGATTTACGATTAACATATGTATGTACCCTGCAAACCATTTTTTCAGAGTATTCTGCATTGTAAAGAAATTTTAAAGAATTCGTTAAGATTTAATTCGAATTTTTGCCGAATTTTCTAAAATGAAATAAATTACGCACATTTCCATTCTTTTACGAAATTTCGGAAGAAACTCTGTGAAGCAGCGAAAATAATGCTGCCATGTGAAGAATATCTTTCAGAATATTTCCAGAATTTTCTTTATTTTTCGTACAGAAATTTCTTTACGAGTTCGTGTCAACCCCTTCATATAATTTTCTTTGAAGATTCGTAAAAAATTCGTTACAGAAATGAGATACTCCTAACGATTTCCTTAAGATTTCGGGAACTTTGGTTTGCAGGGTATTTTGGCCTAAATGCGTGCATATTTGAATATGACGTCGGCATCACACTAAAAAAAAACTCTTAATTCAAATTAAAAAATTCAAATAATTTCAAAATAATTGGTAGAGATGATCGATAGTCCTACTAAACTATCGATATTTTTGATAGTATAAGTGTTTGGGTATATGCCAATACTCCCCTTTTATATTGTTTCATTGAATTGTTAAAACAAATTTTTATATATTGAATTGTAAACTGAACTACGTATACACAGGGACATATGAAATGTATCGATTATCAATTGTACTCGAGACTCGAACCAACATTAATACATCTATAAATATCTTGTACGCAACACTGACTTAACAAAGTAGTGTAAATGAAGAAGGAAAATAATTATTAAAGGTCACTCGCATTCAAACCACCATCAGCATCGTTTCATTGCGTAATTTTTCACTGCGACTAGTACTTCGCTGTCCAAAATTATTTCGCATTAAAATCGAATACTATTAGCTACAAAAAAGCTTGTAGCTCGACATTGGCGCCCGAGCAGGGACAGTAAAGTTTTTTCGTGTTTTTTATACAATAATTACTTCGTCGTCGTAAGTCTTCGATAAAAAAAAAAGTAAGACGCAACATCGTTGGAGCCTCTGTGGATTTTACAGCAGCGGACAGACATCGGAATTAGACACCGGATGACATTGGAGCTTGAAACGGAAAAGAAGCGGTCAAGTAGCAGCTTTATTTACACAATTCAAAGGAATGAGTAGAACGACATCAATTGAGGTATGGTAAAAAACTGTGTGCGTGCAAATATTTAAAAAAAAAAAGTGTTTGAATAAAAATGTTAAATGTACGGAATGTTCTGTTTCAAAATTGTCATTTTTTGGAAGCAAAATTTTTACAGTAAACTTGTACCGCTAAAACGAGCTGAATATACCTGAGTATACAAACGATCCTTACATATATCCGTGTTATACATATAATCCGTTTTCTAAAAAGAATATACAAGCGAATAGCTTATAGAGTATACAAGCGATTTATATATGTAGGTACATATTGCATAGCTGCGCATAAATGCATCCCGTTTCTATGTTATATAGTCGGTTTTTATACAAATTAAGTTTGCAGTATATGTATGTACATTGTTGCTACCCAAGAATGATAGAATACAAGATTGCGCCGATCAGAGAGGATTTTTGAGAATAACTTTTGGGTGACGTCACACTGGTGTAATTGCGAGAGAGAA